ATTTTAGTATACTTTTGATTTAATTGGTACTTTATTTGAAATAATTTAACATTAACACTATATCAAGGATATTTGGAGAAATGGTGCACTCTTAGACAAGAAATGATCAATAACATTAATCCGAGAAATGGTGCACTCTTAGACAAGCACATTATCCAGTGAATGATTTTGATCTTCCTATTGAAGGTCTGGATGTATCTAATAGTGTCTCTGTTATTAACTTACCCATCTCTTGTATTCCTTGTGTTGCGTGTATTTACTTGGATGGAGGTTTACAACAATCGGGTTTACACTATGCTGACCATATCTACTATTCTGATTGGGTTTATGATCCCTCGGGTAATAATTGTCTTGATGGGGAAATCAATGATAGTTTCTTTAATGTGTTGTAGGAGGATCATGATTTAAATGTGGTGAAAATTGATAATGTTAGTTTCTCTACGCTACTACAGAAGAAAAATAAGAAAAAGAAGAACCAAAATCTAGAGCAGAATTTAATTATTTGGTTGGTTGTTCTACTAGATCTAAGTCTTCTTCTTAGATCTCTGGTGGTTCTTTTTTTGTTTGTTGGTTTTCTTCTAGTGCTTGGTGGTCAATAGTGTCTTTTTGGTCTTCTTGGTTGATTATGCTGTTGGATTGTCATTATGTGCTCTTCTATTATTCTCTAGTCATTTTTTTCTTTTTCTTGTTGTTGTACGAGGTGATTAGTTTTGGCCTTTCTTTGGCTGGTTGGGCTTGCTTTTCTTGTTGTGCTGTTGGTTGTGTCTTATATATGCATGCTTTTTCTCTTGTTTGGCTTTTAGTTTGCTATTTTGGTAGGCTAGGTTGTTCCTTCTCATGTCTTTTTTCTTGAGTGTTCTGTTTGCTCATACTTCCTTCCAGTTTTTTTTTTTTTGCAGGTCGCTTGCTTTCTAGTGGCTTTAGGGTGGTGGGGGTATTGATTGGTCCTTTCAAGTACCTTTGTATAATGCTTTTTTTTGCAGTTGTTTCTCCCTATGTTGGAAGTTTTTTGGGGATCTTGCATGCTTGTTGCTTCCCTTTGATCCTTGTGGGATACATTGAAGATCTAGATTGGGTTCCTCTTTGGAAGGTTGTTTTTTTGCCTCCTTAGTTTTTTCTTGTTGATTATTGTATTAGATGGATCATTGGCTCATTAGGTTTTACTTTCAATGTTATGTTTTTTGGCTCTAGAGAGCATTTGATCCCTTAAGGACATGTAACATTTTTAATTAATTAATGTTTAGGCCCCTAAGTGGGTTTTATCCCAAAAAAAAGTTGGATAGTCCAAATTCTTTTGAAGGGTTAATAAAACCTAGTTCTATAATGATATTATGATATATCCAATGAAATTTCCTCACACATAATGTTAGAATTCTTTTCATAACTATCACAATGACTAGATGATAAAGAATCTTGAAGATTAGCTTGAATATTAAAACTCGCAAGGGAAGAGGTGGATCCTTATTTCTATGTTCTAAATGAACTTTGAAGTATGATGAGAATTCATTCCCAAATATCTTGTAATTAAATAGTATGGTAAAATACCCTCAAATTCCATTTATCCTTGTATCCCAATAGCAAAGTATTCATCCAAATGTCATTATAAAATGAAGTAGTAAGATTCAATACAATAAGAAATAATGCAAGAAGAAGCTTAAAAAGCTTATAAGTTGTTGCGGTCACCCGAAAATGTTTATCAAATGTAAAACCCAAAGAAAATAGTGTAGGAGTGCTTATTAAGCGAGTATGTAGTCAATAAAATATAATCCAAACTTTAAAAAATTAGGCATTTATAAGAAGTATCAAAATGAGAAGTCTACTTTAAGAAATGGATAGAAAAATGAAGATTGGAGTAAAATTCACAAGAATGTAGTCTCTTAATTATAACACTTAAAAAAAAAAAGCTTAATCAATACATGCCATGCATGTTATAAACCAACTTAATGGAATACATTAGACCAAGATCTAAGAAAAAAAATGTGATGATTTCATTCCTTAGCCCATAATTTGAATTTTTTCTTCTAAAAACACTTAAAATGATATGCAAGTGAATTGATTCCTTCATTTAAAAAAAAAAAAGTCGGCACATTCTCCTTAATCGATATATGATATTTCGAGTTGAAATCATACCATTGTGAAATGCAACCACAAAAATGACGAGCAAAGAATTTATTGAAGGTTGATTGACCTTTTATAATCTATCATGGTGAATAGGAGATCTAGCTGAAACTTAATTTGGGGCAAACTAAATAATAGCTAAAAAAGAATACAGGAAACCTATTTTTGAAGAAAAAAAGAAAAAATAAACAAAAAAATACTAATCAAATAAATATTATAAAGTAAGATACTATAAGGTGTCATCAAGCCATCAAATCCACCAATAATGTGAGATAAGAAAGTTACAACCAAAGTGAGAATAAATAGAGAAAAAAAAAAGAGTATCAAAATCAAATAAAATAATGCACAATCACAACTAATTATAGCCAAAGTCGATTTACCATTCTAAAATATTACATTTGATAGATTTCACTACAATTGATCTTGTGTATTACATGTTTGTCATGTAATCTTTCCTTTTACCCGTTTCATGGTGTTTGTGGGAAATTTTTTTAAAAAATTCTCATTCTAAACGTACAGGCATGTCATCAGCTGAACCATTGCCATAAGAAGCAACCAACACCAAATCGATAGTGAATATACGACTAAGAGAGATGCAAGCATTATAACTGAACCAATGCCAATGAAGACCTCAACAAGACCAATGCCTAGCAACATCACATCGATGGGGAAAATGCCTAAAAAAGAGGCTTCGTCTGGGACGCCTTTCTTATTGCTTCTTAAAGCGGTTTTTTAATAAAAAATTAAATTCTTTGTATTAAAAACCATTTTAAGAAACAGAAAGAAAATCGTCTCAAACGAAACATTAATTGAGGAAGGACCAGAGATAATATCTACGACTACACTTAGAGTAGTGCTACATAAATGGTTGAAGCTAGCTAGGGTTGAAAGCAAAGCAGGCATGAAATCCTCAATGGAGACGTCAGCATTAAGGGGCTTCAATGATAAAAAGGAAATGTGTGTAAAGAAGATATAGCCCAACAAATAATTAATTACTTATAGAAATAATTAGTTAAAAAAAGACATGATATAAATAATTAATTACTTAACAGCAATTAATAATTCATTTCCTATATTTTATTAAAAATCTATTTTTTTCAATGGCATGTTAATGAGTTTGGAAGGCAACTATTGTTAAAGCATTAGTCAAATGAACTTTTAACTAAATAAAGTTAGTGATAATTGCTATGACTTAAAAATAATTATAAGATGATAACATATAGTTAGCATATAATTAGAGGATAGATTAATTATTTTATAAAAGGATATAACTGTATATACATAAGAAAACAACATTGAAAACAGAAATAAATAGATCATCTAAATATCTTTCGTTTTAAGGAAAATTAAAATATAAAAAACCAAAATGATATGATAACAAAACAAATTATAACCATGATCATATTTCTTAATTTTTTGAGAATTAATTTGTATGCAATCATATTATATGAAGAAGATACGCATTATGCATACAAAATCATGTCAAGCTAAATTCATGCCATCTAAATCTGATGTGCTCCAGATATACCAATAAACAGATTAAGCACTTCAATTACCACTAAAGTAAACGATATTATAAGTTGAAACCATTTTATCACTAGTAAAGCTGTAATTGATTTAAGCCTCAGTGTGAGCTCATTTTTTTCTATAAATGTTCTTTCATGCTTACAAACTGATGAAATTTGTTCTTACAATTACTAGGTTGGGATTCATCAAGAATATCAAAATTTTCATACTACAGGAAATTCATCAAATGCCGGAGGAATTTCCGGTGGCCAAAAGACTGCCATAAGTTTTATTGAACACTTCTTTGGCTTCTTATATTTAGGTGAGTTTTAGTAATTGGTCTTTATTTTGAATGATTGGTAGAGAATTTATTTCAACTCAACAACTACATTGTACTTTTAAACACATCACTTAATTGCAACCATAAAGTATAAAACTAATGATAAGATATGAAGAAATTTCACCAGGAAATTGCTGCAGTAATTGGAGAGGATCAGGATCCTCTAGTACAGTTGATTTTAGTGTTCAGTCATTTTCAAAACATTTGAATGGGGCAGGCTTAATCCAGAAAAGTCAACAAAGTTGCAAGTAGTCATGCCTCCTTTCCTCTAAAATGTGAATGCTAAGAACATATACAGCTCAAAAAAATTAATGATACCCTCTAACAAGTGGCAAAGTTCCCTTTACTAAAACTAACTCATTTTCATCTATCAAATTAACATATTTTATCCATCCTCTTTATGCTATTTCAATTAAAAAAAATTGGTTCACCGGTTCTCATTGCAGTCCTCATCATACAAATCTTCTGCTGTAACATAATATTATATATTTAATGGATTATGATATAATGGGAGCTTCTAGCTAGCAATGTCATATTTTTTTTTTTATGGGATACAGCATTAACATAATGCAGATAATGTACTGGCTAAGCTTAGTGTGTTCTAAGAAGTATCCTGTTACGGCATATGCTTTGCTGCTTGGCTTGTCCTTTATTGATCAATATTTAGGTTCACAAAAACACTCTTGATGATTTGTTTTTCTTTTATTGAGATGGCCGAGTCATGAGCTATGTTGGGGGGTTGGGAAGCATTGCATGAAGAGCCTATGATCTTATCGAAAACAAATAGGGGAAGATAATGAAAACAAGTATCGTCAAATAAAAATAAACTATTATCATTCAACCAAAGGACCATGAAATATACAGGAAAATAACATTTAAAATCTATATTTCTAGCAGCATAGGAGTTAGGAGCAAGCAGGCATTAATTAATCCAAAGACCAGTTAGGCAGGTGTCATGTCAAGTCACACCACACCATTTTCAACGTTTAGAAAGGTATCATTCAACTAATCTGTTGTCACATAGGAAAAGACCAAATCTGGAATATATAAATATTATATATATCGATGATATATATATTACTTACCCAGTGTTGAAACCGAGAAGGCATTATATATATATAATAAGGTAATTACTGTCATATTAGGCTACACAACTAAAGATGACTGAAAAATAACAAAGCACAGAAATCGAAGCTATGTAGGAACAAATGTTCGTTACCTCCCTAAGCATTAATGGACAAGTACCGCAAGATCTCACTACACTACTACTCATATAGTCAGATCTAGAGTACTCGTCACCTTTGCTTGCTGATTCCCAGCCTCAAATTCGCTAACCATTAGGCCTTTCCTTCTGAATCCTTCTTCCTGTCTTGATAGAGTAGAAGACAAAGAGAGAGAAAGTCTGTTGTCCTCTTCCTCTTCTTCCTCCCATGTTCTCTTCCTCTTCTCCTTCCTCGTGGCAATATTTAAAGATAAATTCAGATCTGGTTCATTGTCTTCTTCCTTCAATATTGGTCTCATTGTCATATTTTGTGGTATTTCGTTCTCATTATAATGCATGGAATTGAATTCTTTGTGGTTTAGTTTTGTTTCATTACTGCTTGTGTTAGCTCTAACATTAATGGAAGAGCTACGTGTATGGAAGTCCCAATTGCTCATAGGTCTCTGATGAGTAAGGAAGGAAGTATCAGCTGCAGGACTGTAAGATCCTGGTCTTAAGGAATTCCAAAACCCATGACCAATCCATGAAGAGGCATATCTATAGAGGTGAGAGATTTGTCATGGAAATAATAATTATTTAAATAATCAATTAAGCTAAAAAAAAAATGAAGGGATTTGCATACCTCAAGTTTGAATATCTTTGCTCAAAACCATTTAGGATTGCTAGATTACTATGCCTGTATAAATTCCGCTGATCTTCGCGTTCGATCAGTGTTCGAATTGGATTAATAGCAACTGCCGAAATTTAAGGGAGCAAATTTTATCAATTTGTTCGTTTTATCTGTTTATATTGGAATTCAAAGTTTGATTGCAGAATAACTGTCTGAAGCTAATGCATGTTTTGTAAAAATCAGTAATACCTTGGCCAGAATCATCAATCTTCTTGCTTCGATACATCTGATGTGTAGAAATTAGAAAAATTATATAAAAATCAACACAAAAGTAAAAATTATTAGAAGTTAATTAAAAATAGAAACAGGACTAATAACCACTTGCAAATGGCTTTTGACATGTGCGATGCTGAGGCCTCTAACGTTCATGAGTTGGAGAACTAGCTTAGGTGTTGCTCCTGCAAATCACAAAGGCAATAACAAAAATCAGAAAACTGTAGGACAAAAAAAGAATAAAGAACATATTTAAGGGAATAAGCTGTAATGAAAACAAAAAAATATGGGGAGAGTTTAAAAGGAGAATTGAAGAAAACTAACGATCTTGACCGCCAAGTCTTTCCACCGCTCGAACAAAGCACATATGGAGATCTGGAGTCCACCGAAGCCTTGGAATTTTGGATCTGTTATACTGCCTCACGGACCCCGAATTAATCTTCCTTTCGCCTTCTTCAACGGTGCTGTTGCTTGAGCTTCCTTCAGTCTTAGGGTTCTCATCTCCTTCTTCATCATCTTCATCTTTCTCGGAAAGATTAGGGTTTTCAGACCCCTCTGAACAAGCACTGTCCATAACAAGTCCTTTTTTCTTCTTCTTCAATGGATAAAAAGCAACAAATTAAGATACTTTCGCTTTGATTGCCTTCTCTAGGACATTTTTGCAGCTGTAGCTCTCCTGAAAGTATTGAAAGGAAGGAAGAAGGAAGGCTGAAAGAGAGGTTCTGAAAACCCTAGCTTACAAAACTATATTTTTTTCTTCTTGCAGTTGTGTCTGCTATGTTTATTTTATGTTTAGATGTGTGCATGTGACATATGTTGTACCATGCATAGTAGTAAATGGGTAGGTCGGGTTAGTGTTATCGTGTATGTATGCACATCATCCATGCATGGATGAAGAATATAAGATGAAGAGTAGATAAATATGAGTTGTCTGTGATAGAGACCTGAACCTATATACAGAGAAGGAAATGACTCGAGAGAATCACGGAAGCTCTCCAGATAAAAACAAGTAGCCGCCAGATATGCATGTCGCATTTATTTAAAGTATGCCTCATGATCGCCTGATCTTCTTAATTGTCGAGGAAAAAAAAAAGGTTATAACTGCATCCATCTCTGAAAGCCAAGCTTTCTCTGATTTTGAGGTAACGTGTTAAAATTGACCAGATAAGCTGACCCGGCTTGGTTTCTATAACAAAATTTCAGGTTCAAGATTATTTATTTTTAACAAAAAGGATCATATTTTTGTTATTAAGATGGAAATATAAAAAGGAATTTTAGCCTCAAAAAATATGGAAAAAAAAAAAGAGAAATAAAAAATAGGACCAAAGAGGAACAAAAGCGATAAAAGTAAGGGCATAATAACTGGCACAAAAAATTAGTTTTAGTCAGCTACATACTCATAGAAGTGTCAAAAATTAACACGACATAAAAACACAACTCGAATTTTCAGGTTAGGGTCAACCCCTTTGAAAACGGGTTGGGTTCGGATCCCCAATTCCAAACAATTTCAAATTATGGGCCAACCCGAAAACTCAATTGCGACTCAAATTGACTCGCGACACAACGCAGTGAGCTGTGAGTAGTCCGATTATTATTTAGGTTCTATTCACATTTCTACGCATATCAGTACCCTATCACAACCACATTTCTATGTGTATTGTCTCTCAGCTCTAACCTCTCTTTTTTTTTTATCTCTCATCTCTAACCTCTATGTCTCTAACTTCATCAGTTTAGGGTTTGATCTCAAGTCTCCTCCACCTCAAGCCCGAAGCTCTCTTTGGCCCTCTTGCATAATCTTTATTTTTTTAGTTTATTCGTTATTGAGTCGTAAGTCACGACCATATTTTTTTAGTTTTACTGTTTTCGCTGTTGGTTTTTGCTTTGCCGATGGATCTTGTATCGGTTTGCTCCTTCCAATGGAATTATTGTGTAGGACCTCTAGATTTTGGTTTTTGCATTAAAGTAGTTAGGATAGAAAAATTAGATAATCATTTTTTGCCCAATTTTCTTTTCAAATTGTTAGGGCTTTGTTTTTTTTAGGGTTAAATAGTTCTTATGTTAAAGAATTGTATTTCTTGTTATCTTGTTAGTTGTTTCCTATATACGATTATATATATACTCCTATAGTGTGCACTCTACAACAGCACTGCAAGTTTACTACTACCAATTTATCATTATGCATTATGGATATATAAGTTATTATGTGGCATCAGGGATTTAATACAGTGTAATTGGTTTGTGAGACAGTGACAGTGGTCAATGGTGGATAAATGTTAAACTTAAATCATTAATGTGCATTTATTATGTAGGAAATGTTTCATGTATTCTTCTTCACTCTTCAGGTTAGATAAGTTGATTAAATGTAGTGTAATAGTTCTTAATTGCTTATATTTTGAATATTTAGTCAAGGTGGGACCGTGAGAGACATTGATCTGCATTCTATTGGTGCTCAGTTACTTAGATGATCATTTATCATTATTGTTAAAACTTGATTATTATATTTCATACGTGCTATAAATCTATATCTCAATAGTTGTTAGTGCCTTACCGGCTTGGGGGTTGGTGGGTCATGGGTGGCTTTATTTTAGAAATTTGCTTTAATTAAGTTATATTTCATTTTTATCCTTTTGCACTTTACACTTTGCATGGATTCTGATTCATGTTTCACTATTTGCTATTGCTCTATGTTTGCACTTTTTTTGTTGCCTATTATAATTGATCAAATCATCATTGTTTGCTTTAATGTGTTACATTCTTTTGTACTAGTTTGAAATTTAAGAAATAATCTTTCATATTTGATATATTTGCATTAAAAAATGTTGCTTAATTAGTTGAATAGATGGAGAATTCAAACACCATTCCTGAGAATTTTTTTATAAGAATAAGCAAGTGGGAAGTGGTGATAATGTGGTAGAGCCATCTAATAATGCATGTAATGATGTTCTATTAATTGTGAAGAAGCGTAGAAGGATGACATTAATAGTTTGGGGTCATTTTGATATGTTGTTTAATCCTAAAGATGGTAAATAAATGTGTAAATATAAAAAATGTGGTGCATAAGATCTATGTGATTGCAAAGATGACACTTGTAATTTATGGCGCCAGTTAAAAAATTGGAAGAAAAGAGATGCGTGTTATAGTTCACTCATATTGCAAACAAAGATTAATTCATCTGTTTTTATTGCTGATTCTTGATTTAACATGGCATAATTTTATGATTTATTTACTGCCTGTAACATTATTTATGATTTGCCCTTCAATGTGTTGAATGGGTTGTTATTCAAGAACTTTTGATGTATTTTCATCGGGACCTATAATTATTTTCTAGGCATATTGTAAGGAATGATTATAATAAATTATTCCTTTAAGAAATATCTCATATATGATCATAGTTATCTAAGTGCTCTAGCAAAGTTTGTCTAACATTAAACCCATGGACATCTATATACACTAACATGTTTATTTTCTTAACTATGTATTTTAATGATAATGATTGGCACCTACATAAAAAGATCATACATTTTTCTTTAATGACACCATCTCATGATAGTATAGCGCTGTTTGAGAAGTTGCAATCTCTTATACTTGAATAGAAATAATGCTTATGTTTGAATAGAAAATAATGCTTATGTTTTTCAAAGTGTCACTTTGGACAATGCCTATGCAAACAATGTTTCCATAGAGTTCTTCAGAAATTAGTTGAATCTACGTAGTGGTATGCTATGTGAAGGTGATTTTTCATGTCTGGTGTACTGCACATATTATTAATCGTATAATTCGGAAGGGCTTGAAGGATATTGATGGTTCAATCTAAAAAATTAGATAGATCATAAAATATGTGAAGGGCTCTCAAGTAAGGAAGCGAAAATTTATTTATTGCATTAAGCAAATCGAGTTGTTTAGATTCAAAAAGAGGTCCAAGACATTATATTCTGATAAGATGGAATTCTACTTTCATAATGCTTAATAGTGTTATATTCCATCAAATGGATTTTTAAAATGTAGAGTTGGATGATTCCAGCTATAAAGCTTGTCCTAGTACGACATAATGGGAGAGAGTATAGTGTATTTGCACTTTTTTTGCTCCTTTCTATGAAATAACTTGTGGTATATCTGACACAAAGTATCAAAAAATAAATCTTTACTTTCCATGCAATTTAACAGCTTATGTAACATTAAAACATGAATTATCTGATGCGCATGACTACATAAAAAGAATGGCTATAGGGTTGATTAAAATATTTGATAAATATTGATCAAAGTTTAGTGTTATATTAACAATAGTAGTTATTCTAGATCCTCGACATAAATTTACATTTATAAAGTGATGTTACAAGAGATTGTATGAAGGGGATTATGCCTTTGAATTAAGAAAAGTAAAAGATAAATTATTTTCATTATTGCAAACTATACAAGTAGTGGGAATTGTGCATCAGGGGTAGATTCAAATGCAATACAAAGGAGACATACTGATGTATCAAGACACACTTCTTCCACTATAATTAAGTTACAATTTCTCCATGTATCTATTTTACTAAAATTATTTTTCCATTTCTTCATGTTAATTTGATCAACAAAGTCCGAGCTTCCAAAAAAAGGATTTTTATTCATTTGAAGAGGAAGTCTTCATGTCTAGAAAGTCATAACTTTATGTATATCTTGATGAACCCAAACTTGATAGGAAAATTGAGAGATACTACATTTTGGAAAGACAATCAATATAAAGTTTCCAATATTTTTGTAATGGCTCGTGATGTATTGTGCATTCCCATAACAATAGTAACCTCTAAAAGCACCTTCAATAATAGTTGTAGAATCCAAGATCAGTATCAAAGTGCACTTAAATAAGATATGATTGAGGCCTTAGTACATTTATGTAAAGGATTGGTTGTATGGAGAACAAGGTGCAATATCATTTAACCTTATGAACTCTTACATTAATCATTATTTTTCACTATAAAGTGTCAAATATTTATGAGCTGAAATTTATATTTTTATTTCTTGTAATAGTAAGTGACCCTAAACAAAAAGGTGTGACTAATGGTACTCTAACTTTAAATATAAATCAACTTGAAGGAGAACCTAATGAAAGTTCAGTCATTAGATAAATTTTTATCATCTTGTGATCCTGGTAACTAGGTGGGTGGTTATTGGTAACTGTTTGGGTATTGATGTGGACCAAAATAGTTGATAGTGTCCACTAATTTACTTTTTTTAATGCTTCCTTAGATAAATATGCATAATTAACATTAATTACCTTGAAATACAAGCTAACACTATATTATCGACTTTAGAAAAGAAATAATTTGATTTTTGTATTCAAATTTGGTTGAGGGGATATGAAATTCACTCTATATGAAAGTATTCCCATACACCTATCATTTCAAATATAAAAATAACCCAATATTAGTTTTAGTTAACATTAAAAAAATTCCTCGATCTATCTTAACAAACTAAGACAGGGTTTATTTTATACTAGGATCTTGAATTCCTATAGAGGTAATCCCCTAAAGAAAATTACATCTCCAAAGAGAATACTCTCAAATAAAATGGTGATTAGACTCATTTTAGATTTAAATTACCTAAGAGTTGACATATATACTTTGAAAATATCAGTCACTCCCTCAAACATATAATCAAATTTTATAGAAAATACCTTTGAATACATTATATTCTTTGTATAATAGAGTTTGAGGTGTGCAAATATCTATAGGCTTATACTTACTTAGAATGCACTACCAGCTAACAACCTAATAGGCAAG